AACTAGTTACGTCAGAAATGTTAAAACTTGCAAGATGTATTTTTTTTACATGTCAAACCAGAAAAAACATTATTTTAATAATTTGTTATTAAGTCACTGTAGCTTCAAATTCCATTCCTATGCTGATAATATAAAATGCAGTTTCCATGGAAACGAGTTCGGCAGCCAATTTCCATTTTGCTCGTAATAATCAAGAAGTATTCTCATAAATTACGGTTTTATGGAATTTTCGTCGGATCGTACTTCCTCAATCAAAATAATGAATGTGCGCGTTGCAAGAGTTGCTTCACGGACATTACACCAATGTATGTTGTCATGGCGACGTAATACGGACTTCACCAACCTTTCAATGTATACTAATGACGCAATTTAAACGATATTCATCTATCTTGTTTGTGAAAATGAAAAAAATTATTAATGAGTCTAAATGTTGGCGTTGTAATTTTACTGGCAGGTGTTTTTTTCGAGGTTCACTCAAGTTGAAACATTTAAGTCGCTACTAACGATATTTTTTTAAATTTTGAATTACATGCCGAGGCTGCCACTGGGAAGCAATATTTCTACCATAAAAGTGATAATTTAACGCGCTATCCGTGACGTTCACGACTGAGGCAATTCCGATTTACCGAAGCACCTTCACCGCGACCATAGACGGAGTCGCTTCAAATTACAAAACCTCACCAGTGATGTCGGACTTGTGTTGGCCAATCCATGGGAGTCAGTAACGCGTAGTATGGGATGCTCCCAATTTTAACTAAATGAATAGACATTAAAAAATATAATATGGGAACAGAATAATTAGTCGAGCATCCTCCCCGCACACGAAAGGAATCTATCGCGAAGTGAAAATAACGACGGAGTATGAATCTCGAAAGGATTCAGCCTCAGCGTCGTTAAGTATATAAGGGCGCAGTAATTTTGTTGCACTGTTCAGAGGAGTCTCAACAATCATCCCAAAGTACCGTGTTATGCGAGTTTTGGGCCTTTGTTTTCACCGCCGCGGGTTGCCAGGCGGTGAAAATGCCCGGATGTCCGCCCCCCGAGGATAGAATTATACCATAAAACATAAAAAGATAGTATAAATCTCAGGATTAAATGTATACAGAGACTGTTTTGTATGTGACTATAGAATAAGATAACACTAATACAATACTGGGCAAGCATCTACAGTTCTGTACATAGAAACCATTCAAGCTTTCAATGAAACTATTGCAGTGCGGTGTTTTGGTTATTGCTAGGCAACAGGTCTGCTACGCACATTTATGTGCAATAGAGGGCGCATTTTGTTAGACAGATCGGGGTAACTCAAGCGTTCATTGGTCATATGGTGCGTCGGGAATTTGTTTTCTGTCGATCCATTTATGAAACCAACAGTAAACTATTATGATTTGAACATTACATGAATGTGTCTTAAACTTGCAGGTAGTATGAGAATTATATTTAATATTATATTCCCGCTATTTTCTTGAATTTTATCTAATTTATTATACTATTAAAACGTTTGATTTCTATAACGCAAGAAAACAAAACTTTTATTTTAAAATTAACGCATTTTTTGAAGTACAAGTTTAATGCTTTATATTTTCTTCCTAATACTCGGTTCCAATTTCTCGTTCATTCATAACAATGGACGAGTCAATTACATGGTTGTAGAAGCATGATTAATACTGAATCCACAGTTGAACAATCGTCAATGCTATTGCCATGGTAAACATATTTACATTGTCGTTTTACGCGTCATTAGTTGGTTTGTATTTCACTCTTATTGAATATCAATTAAACCAAACATAAATACAATCATAAGTGATTAGTGGATGTTGTAACGGATGATACTTACACAATATGATTCATTTCATCGAATTTCCGATCTTTTGGAAATGTGGTACAAGCACGTATTTGGTCGGCAA